CACAAGCCCAAAAGCCCAGCTGGATCATATGATATGAATTGGAGACAAGTCCACTTTAAATGAAGTTGAAGTTTGAATCTTCCATAAAGAAATAAGAAATGATTTCCAGTAACTTTGAATATTTGCAGGAAATAAAAGACCCGATAGGGAAATCCTGGGGCAAAATAAAACCAAGGCTTCCAAGTTCCAACAATTGTACAAAAAAAAAGGGGATTTAGGGTAGGAAGTCAAAACAGCAGAATAATCATAGATTGTTTGATCCTGGTCAGTACAGTACAGCTGGAAACTTCAAAGCAAGCCAACTGTTGGAAGGGAAGATGGAGAATCATAAATGTGTTTGTACCTAGAGAATGTCAGGAAGCAGCAGAATTATTAGCCAAAAGGAAATGATAAAGTCCCAAAGTGTACCCTGTCGGTGACTGAATAAGACTAAACTTAACACCATAGGCCTTGTACCTACGGGGTTTCAGTTTCTATAAGGGCAGTGTACACAGCAAGCTTTTACAAAGCATTTGTAAAGCTTGCTTAAAGAGTAAATCCACTTTTGTTGAGAAAAAATCATCTTCTTTGGGTGATCAATGTACACTGCAAGGACTTTAACAAACTTTGTTCCAGTTTTCTAAATGTTTCTGTTCTGAAGAAAAAGCCGTTTTACTATGTCCTTTCCAGGCTGATCCCTGAGGATCCAGTCATAGCATATCCAGTGCGTTCCAGTACGATTTGAGCATGGAACGCACTGGATCACAAAAAACAAGCCAGGCTGCGTTCTGGGACGGGAGGGTGCGTGGTGGTGCCATTCAAGGCGATCGTCTATACCATAACGCGTAGTACTGGAATGCCCTGCGTTCTGCATTCTTTACATCACTTCCTGTTCATTCATGAGCTTCTCAATGGGAAGTAGCACTCTGTACAGAGTATTCGTCCCATTCAGAAACTGGGTGATAGTAAATATTTTCTGAATGAATGGGAAGCCTCTGTACTTTCCATTCATTTGGAACAGATGCTGCAGAAAAAGAGATTGAGGATTCTGTGTCCTCAATTTCTTTTTCTATTTTAGAAGGGAAATATCAGGGGTCTGTTTAGACCCCTAATATTTCCCCGGGGCCCCAACAGTAAAAGAAAAAACGAACAAAAATTAAATTAAAAAAAATCCTGGGAGGCGGGGCTCTGGGTGACATCACACGCTTGTTGAGGGGGCACATTTTTTTTTTCTTGCCTCGGGCGCAAAAAGGATCTATGGCTCTGCTCCCGTGGTGCTCGTGTGGCTGCCGGCTGAATGTATCAGACGGGAATGGGCAGGACACCTTTCCCCGTGTGCAACGTCGGTCACACACGAGCACCGCGGGAGGACAGGACGCAGGCGCACAAGAGGAGACCTGGAAAGCTGCAGGTTTTACGTAAACGCTTTTACGGCTCATCAGTTTAGTGTTGACAGTGATTGATGGGCCTAGAATTATTGCTCTCACTATGACTTGCGTGACGATATGCAACAACATGTGTGGTGCAATTTTCGTTTTTGCATGTAGGGGCGGGACCTATAAAAAATGTTTTTGCTTTTTTTTTTATCTGTTACTGTAATTTTTACAAATTTTTTTTTACACTCAGCTTTATTGCTATTGCATAAGGGGCTAAGAAAACCCTATGTTATAGTAAATATGTGACATGTCCTCTTCATCTGCTTCACCAGCTTCTTCTTCTGGCTCTAGGAGCTGGAGAATGTGCCCAGTGATACCGGAAGTGATGTAAGGCACATCACTTCCGGGTCCAGTGATCGGAGGAGAGATCAGCGGCTGGAAACTGCTAATCTCTCCTCCGATCCATCAGGGGAGACCCGCCGTGCCAGTCCTGGGCTCACAAGGGGGACAGTGGAGCCCAGGAAGCGGACGGCAGCACCGGCGAAGGGGGGGGACACATGCCACAGCACAGTACAAGAGATCCTGTACCTGTAGAGGCAGCAATCACCAGCTGTTTAAAACAGCTGCAGCCGTGTTCTTGGTATAACCACTTCCAGCGGAGGACGTACATTTACGTGAACTAGCTGGAAGTGGTTAAAGTTTCACATATAAAATAAAAACACCACAAAAAAATGTTTAAAGTCCCCCGCATACACACATCAGGTGCATCTACATGCGAAAACAACAATTGCACCGCACATGTTACATATCGTCGCAAATGTCGGATCGTGAGCAATAACTCTAGGGCCATTAATCACTGGTAACACTAAACTGCTGAGCAGTAAAAGCTTTAAAAGTGTCGCCTATGGGAAAGTTTGGGTATGGTCGTTTTTTGCAATTTCACGGAAACAAGCAATTTTAAAGGTTGACATTAGGGATGCACCGATACCACTTTTTTAAGGCCGAGTACGAGTACCGATACTTTTACTCGGTATCGCCGCCGATACCAATGCTTGTATCGGTATCGGGGCATCCCTAGTTGACATGTTTGGGGTCTATTTACCCAACGTGACACCGTCTTTTATATTTTACCAAAAAATTGGGTAATAATAAATGTTTCATAACATAACGTAGGGAAAACAGTTTTTTCCCAAAAATATTCTGTACTTTTTTCTTTACATAGTAAAAAATAAAACTCCCAGTGCTGATTAAATACCACCAAAAGAAAGCTCTATATGTCCCCAAAAAACTGGTATAAAATTTCAGTACAGCGTTGCATAATGGAATAAATGTGAGTCAATGTACCGTAACGCTAAATACTAAAAAGTAGCCTGGACAGGAAGGGGGTGTAAACACCTCGGTCATCAAATGGTTAAAGCTGAGACCTTTTATATTTGCATTTTAGCAATCCTTAAAATGTGTGGCTGCATTAGTTTCCTCTTTTAAGCTTTTTTCCTTTATTTTCACCTGGTGGTCCAGCCAAAAAGTTAATTTTTTTATCCTCCTTTAACAGACCAAGCTATCCAGCAAAAGTGGCAGGTAGAGGGCTGAGAAACTATTTAACACCGTCAGGGGTGCTTACAAATGGTCAGCTTTATTTATGCAAAAAGGTAAAATTAAAAATTGCTGATGTAAAATACTTATAATGTAAGTATTGGTAACCAGCAATATATTCAATTTTTATTTTTGTGTTTAGGTACCCTTTGAACTCAGATTTTGAGTGTCACTTAAAAGAAGCTGCCAGCAGGCTCTCAACAAGTTTCAAGTAGTGTTTGCACTGCCTTATATTACGACATGAAATGTGTCAGAAAGGTAAAGTTATGTTTTAAATGCAACAACTTAAGAGGCATACCTCTATACATAAATGAAGCACATGACTGAGTCATAATGCAACTAAACAGAGAAAATAAGCCCAACTGCCCGAAGATCAGAGAATATACTCGAAAGTCTATTTTTAGTGGACTGAGAAATACAATTTCTCAAATGATGCAATACTCTACCAGTGTGAAACTCAAACAGAATAAAATATTCCACTTCCACTTAAAGAAAATACACAAATAATGAAAATCCCCCTAAGCTGGGCAGCGATATCCCCAACCTCGGCAATTCAGCTGACATGTGCAGGAATTTTAAGAAATGTTTAATACAACTTTCATTCATTATTACCAATTTTATATAACTGAATCCATTTGTGCAAATCTTGCATGAAAACATTTATAGCTAGACTTATTAGGACGTAATCATCAATGATTTGGTGGTGAACCCCACTCAATAAAAACATAAAATAGCTAAATTCACCAATGTAAGATTCGATGCGATTCACCTCACATTTACTGTCAGTATAAATCCTATGTATTATATGACATTTGCTGGGCACATCTTGTTAGGACGAATCTTGCTAATACAGTTGCAGCTATTTTTCAGCTTTGGCTGAATCTTTGCGGGATTTTTGGGGCGAATAGCGTTATGGAAGCGGAATGTTCTTTTGTTTATTTGCTGACATGCTTTCCATGGTGCTGAAACTGTGTTTATACACAGCTTCAGCAATGGAATGGTTAAGGTCATCTTTTAAAATGAAGAAAAATGCAGACAAGCAGGCTGATATGCCCATAGCATGAGAGCAGCAGTCCCCCCTCCCATACCTGCCAAGGTATCCATCAGAAATGGGCAGGAGCTTTGAGAGGGGTTCCCTGACATAATGGTGATCCCCCTCCCAAAGCATCCTCATGCTGATGGTTTGGGGACAAGTAGATGTTCACCCCCCTCTCTGGTGAACTGGTTTTAGGGGTGCCCTGAACGCTAACCACTTTACTGGTAAGAAAAAGCGGTTAAAAAAAAAAGGCAATCCTCGGTCCCTGTAATCCTTAGACTCGTCCCCTGGACAGTCTAAGGATCCGTGATGTCATTACTTCTAGCATTGGACCTGAGGACACCAAGGAACATTCTACAGCTGAAGTGGAGAGGGAGAGAGGCGAGTGGTCACCACCACGGGACCAAGGGTCAGGTGAGCGTATCTTCTTTATTTTAGACCATAGACCAAAACAAGCACTTAACCCTTGCAGTGTGGGAGTAATCCCCCTGCAAGGGTTAATTGTTTACATGCCCGGAGTTCTTCTTTAGGAAATTCTTATTAGAAAACAGCTTCCTAGACTTCCTGATCTTTTCACAAGAAAGGCTGCTACATTCTAATCTGAAGACATAGGTAAAGAAAACTGCACCACCTATCTGAGTGAAGAGCGACATTTTCACAATCTATGGAAAAGATTGCAGAGAATGTAGCACCAACATAGGGGGTGCACGCACGCACACCTGAAACGTCAGCTAGAAATGCTCAGCTCCCCGGCCAGGACCATTAAAAAGCCTAGAAATGTAGCCTCCATCTCCGTGACTACCCTCTGAACTGTAACATAAAATGGATATTGACGGGGCGTCTTTATTTTTTGTTTGGAATATGATAAATATTTGAATTTAACGTAACCAAATTATGTAAATGCCTTGGTACTGGCCAAGGCAGGCAAGTGCGGTTAAGAACTTATGGCAAGGCAACTTCTGGGCATGTTTTAGTTCAGCGGAAGTCTAGCGTGATCACCTGTCAGCTGAACTTACCTCTGCTAATACGTTGCTTCTCTCCAGAGAGGATTCCAGGAGAATCGATGATGCTGATGCTCTGAAGAACCTGATTGGGCAACTGTGAGCACATAAACCTGCAAGAAAGAAGAAAAACAATGTTATCCAGCAAAACAATTTCACCTTACAACTTTGATGAGCTAGATATGAGCTAGATATACTCAAATATACACTGAGGGTCGCAGAACTGCCAGTACAAGGCTGGCCATTGATTTTTATTTGGTAAGAAGTGACACGAGCAATCTGTAAATGTGGACTATGGTGTACAAAAAGGACCAAATGAAAGCTTTCTGCTTCTTCTGCATGCACCACATCACTAAAGCACTGGGGACATTCAAAGGCAAGCATTACACAAGGGTAGAGGCAGCGCTGCATAACAAGGGTTGGCTGTAACTGAATGTGACGCTCACTAAAACTGATTTTCTGGAATTCCAAAAGAACCGTGGTACTTCACTCACCATACATCGGGGTTACACAAGACATGTCCCATTTGCAGACATTATTTACTGGAGAGCGGCCAAAAACAAATTGACCTTCCAGTCACCAGACTCAAAAGATTGATATCAGCGCTCCTCCTGATTGCTTGCTCGGGGCAGAGCTGCAATAACTTACCATATTTCAATTTAAAAAAAAGTCTATCTGTATATACTGTATATTTAGTGCGAGTCCTCTAAGAACAGACACTCTTAAAGCGGATCAATGGGCATACAAATTGCGATATAAATTTAAGGCTGCAAAAATCGATAATAATCAATAATGAGAATCATTGTCAACGATTCTCATTATTGATTAGTTGATTCCGATTAGTTGACTCAGCTCAACCGCTAACCACCCCCCCTCCCAGCACCGCTTTGCTCCAGTGTTCTCCTCCCCATTGGTGCCAGCTGCAGCGGTCTGTGTCCCATTCAGTCCCCGCCTGTGTCGGCAGAGGCAGTGGGGGCACAGACCGCTGCAGCCGGCACCAGCGGGGAGGAGAGACTGTCTGTGTCTCTGCATTCCCCGTCTCATCTGCTGGTGCCCCGGTTCCTGAGCTGCACCCCATGCCTGGCTGCTGCCTTCTTCAAATCTTTCTTTGACCCAGAACATGTATCAATATAAGGAGTTCTTACATTTCTCAAACTTTCTTTGCTACTTGGTACAGATCAGTAATAAAAGTCAGTCAATTAGTATTTTCAGGAGGAGGTCAGCAATGGCAGCCCACATAGTTTTCTTATGTCTTGTGTAAACTAGGGATGCAGGGATATATATTGGCCGCTGAAACATAATCGGCCGAAAATTGTACTTTTGGCAAAAATGCCAAAGGTGCCATTTTTCTGCCGATATAGCGGTGCATCTCTGCTTTCTCTCCTCCCCGCTGGGCGCTGCTCCGTGTCCCAGCGGGGAGGAGAGAAACTGTCACAGGCGGCCGAGCACTGCTGGAGGAGAGCGCTGTTGGAGGAGAGCGCTGTGAGCGGCCAGCGTCTCTCCTCCCCGCTCAGCCTCTTGTCACAGATCAGTGTGGGCAGAGACAGCCATCGCTATCACAGGAGGCTGAGCTCTACTCCCTGCACCACTCGCTCAGGCTCCTGTGACAGCTGTCAGGAAGGAGAGCGAGGTACAAACACTCAGTGTTTACTGATCGCTGAGTGTTTACTATATCCTCAATTATGAATGAATGGGAAGTGATCTACATCATCTCCTCATCTCATTCATGATTGTGGTTATAGTAAACATACTCTGTCCTCATGTTATGAATGAACAGGAACACTCAGGGGATTCCTGTTCATTTATAACAGGGGCTGCAGAAAAAAAATAATTCTATTTTAAAAAAGGGAAATATCAGGGGTTTAGACCCCCAATATTTCCCCGTAGCCCCTAAAAGTAAAAATATTTAATAAAAATTAAAATAGTTCATAAATTTTTTTTGAAAAAAGTTAAAATAAAAAACATTTTTGGTTTCGGTCCGACATTTTTTTTTCATTTCGGTTTTGAAATTTTAATTTCGGTGCACCTCTAGTGTAAACCACTTCCAGACACCATATGTTGCCACTACATACGACCCGTAGAGATTCACCGAGCATTGCATGATAATATAGCAATAGAGTTTCTGCTGCTTCCAATTTTCATACAATAGCAGTAGCAAAACCCTCACTGAGACCATAATAACTGCCTCTTCCTGATAACATCAGCAGGGTCATTTTTTTCTGCTTGATGTGATTTTCAGCCCACAAACAAAATTAACTGGGCAGGTCTGGATTTCTTTGTACTCTTTATTCTGCCGAGTCCTCGTGAATCAGCTCTAATTATGGTCTTATACAAGAGGTTTACTGAAATGGGTTTTGGACTGCATATACTTTGGCAACCTAGAGTATCAGACATTCCCTCAACAGCTTCCAATTTTAGAACATAATGATTGGATCTTATTGCGGTATTCTGATTTCAGCAAATATCTGCACAAGACATTACTTAAAAAACACCACCTTCAGTTTGGCCTTTGGAATAGGCGTCAAGAATATGCAGCATTTATATCATAATGTTCCATCCTCTTTGTAAAGCTGCTCATAGACAATACAGGACAGTCTCCCTGTCTGGCAAAGACTGGATTCATGAATACCCCACCAAGTACCAATGCTTAGGACCAGCTATACGCATTAGAATAAGAGGTGGCCAATGCGAAGGTGACCAAGAAATGAATCAGAGGAAATGGCCAATGCCATTGAGGCGAACCATAAAAGAGGCAGATCTCTCTTGAAGATGGCTGTACAGGAAGTAGATCAGCCAGTCCTCATGTCACCTGACCACGCTGACCAATGAGTGCCTGCAATTCACAAACAAAAAAATCCATAGCGCAGGGCTGGGGGTATGGGGCACAGATAGTACACCCTCATCTCGTTGCTCGAACACACTAGAGCGCATCCTGGCCAGCTTCCTGCGGTTCAGGTGCGTGATGTAAATGGCACTGCAGCCACGACCCCCCGCTATTGCCCGCACCAGAACGCGTGGCACATCAGTGCCTGCATTACGGTCCAGTGCAATCTGAAAAAAATAGTGCATGCAGCATTTTTTCAGAGATCACAGTGGACCGGAATGCAGGCACTGATGTGCCACGCATTCTGGTGCGGGCGTTCGAACCACAATGTCACACAGTGGAATGGGGGCAGCACTCTCTCACACATACACAAAACGCACTACACATGCGTTTATTCCCATGCAGATGGCAGGGGTGGGAGGCTTGGTTTTATTCATTATTGTTTTAATTATCACATTTTTTTCCACTTAACTTAATTGCCATTATACAGGGGCCAACAAACCCCTATGTGATAGCATTTGGTGGCGACAGGTTCTCTTTATGGAGCCTTCCCTCCAATACAGATCCCATGTGCAGCCTGGCTTGTGACAGGTACCGTCTTGAGCAAAACAAACGACAAACGCACTCAACAATTTGTTACCAGTTATACAGTAAGGTGCACACGAAATGGGCTTTGAACAGTGGTACAGTAGAAAGGCATCATGGCACACTCACAAACCAGCATGTAAAACAACTTGTCTCACCACTAAGGACAATGACAGAGGTTTGGATACACGTCTTCTGCAAAGGATGTGTAAGCCGCACTGCCGCGCCAAGGCACCTCTTATAGTGCGGTCCTAACTCTAAACTATGAGAGTCTCCATCTTGGAGCACATGGGGGCAGAAGATATCAAATTGGGTGCAGGCCTGTCAGGATTTGGTGCAGCGACGCATGGGGTTTCTCAGCTGCCAATGGGATGTGCGGGATCCCTTGTGTGTCTCTGTACCTTTTAAGGAGGTGGGGCGTCCTCCTGACAGGCCTGCACCCAATTTGATATCTTCTGCCCCCATGTGCTCCAAGATGGAGACTCTCATAGTTTAGAGTTAGGACCGCACTATAAGAGGTGCCTTGGCGCGGCAGTGCGGCTTACACATCCTTTGCAGAAGACGTGTATCCAAACCTCTGTCATTGTCCTTAGTGGTGAGACAAGTTGTTTTACATGCTGGTTTGTGAGTGTGCCATGATGCCTTTCTACTGTACCAAGGTACCGTCTTGAGTCCAGCGCTCCTGTATCACTGATGACATAGCAGCTCAGAGAATGGAAATTCCATCCTGAAGTCATTTGCCGTGGTCCCCAGAAAAGTGGGAGACCCTGAAAACCACAGTGCGGAGGAACAACCAGGCTTCTACAAGTGATAGCGGCCCAGATCACTTGTCCAAAATGAGCGGTGGCTACCCTTGCTTTACATTTAGCCTTGCTTGCCCACAGCAGAGCTAAATGTAGAAAAAAAACAACAACCTGTCCGGCGCACGGAACAGCATGTCCCAGGTGTCAGGTGATAGGAATCGGGCACCCCTGACTCTGTAGGAGAACCCCTGATCGTAAGATGCAGAAATGAATTTGGAAAAAAAAATATGTATAGGACATAAATGATTTGGGTGCGAATCCCATAGGAGCCAGTAACCTACTGGGCTAGACAATGTCAGATCTGAACAATTTTGCAAAGAACTGACCACAAAATTTGTAACATGCAGAGGCACATAGAATGTTTCTTAATTTTGTTTTCATAATTTTCATCTGTTCTAATGAAATGCTCTCTCCTGATTTTTATCATGATGTTCCTCTTTCAGATTTTGCTCCATGCATTTCTGAATACCATCAGCTTCATTTTTACTAAAATCAATATGACCTAAACTGCCTTACATGACATCAAGCAATCATCTAGTGCTTGCAGTAACGGTATACACATTACTGAACAGTGTACAGAGACAAAATATTAGCAAAAGCCCCTGTGGCAGAGGCATGGGAGAGAAAGATAAAGCAGGGCGGGAATTTTGCTCATCTAGTATTTCATGTTGAGTGGGGGAAAAATATCTTTAGGGTCTTATCACTGCAATCATTCATAGTTACCACAACACTATTCAATGAAGATAATAAACGCCAACAATGGAGGAGAGAGGCATGTAAACTATACCAACAATGGAGGGGAGAGGCATGTAAACTATATCTTCAAAAAAGGGGAAGGGAGGAGAGGGACAGAAAACATATATTTCAAAAAAGGGGGGGGGGGGATCAATACAGGTTCCTA